CGGTTCAAAACCTGAACCTGGCGGCTCGCTTTCTCACTTTCTTTCTCTCTCTCTCTCTCTCACTCACTTTGTCCCTCTCTGGTCAAATTTAAATAAATAAAGTTAAATAAAATAATTCTTTGAAAAAAAAAAAAAAGAAAGAAAGCCAGGCACGGCTCCACATGGCTGTGGTCCTAGCCAGCTGGAAGGCTGGGAACTGTGACACAGTGAGACCCTATCAAAACTCTCTCTTCTATCTCTCTCTCTTTCTCCCTCACCACCATCCCCTCCACCACCACGGGCACTCATATGCACACGTGCTTTCTTGCTCACTCTAAAAAACAAAACAAAACCTTTCTGGGGGAAAGAAGTTTTTTAGCAAAATGCAGCAAATATAATTAGATGTCTATTTAAAGTTACATTAGAATAGCTCCTAAAAAGGAAAAATCTTCCCAGTCTTATGCATTATAACAAAAATAATGCTTTTAAAGTAAGCTTTCTTCTGAAAATCTTAGTTTTAATAAGAGCTTTAATAGATTCAATCATTTGCAGAAAACATTACATTGCAAGATATTAAGCTAGTCTGTAAAAGGTGAATAAAAGGCAGTCTGTGCCGTCAAGAATATTTTCACTTTCTACATAATGTTTTCATAACATTGATTGTTAAAATGTCTCCACACAGTAAAATGGAAAGAGAACTGACCTTGACTTGAACAGATCAAGGTTAAAGTTCCAGCTCTGTCTATGAGCTTAGAAAGGCCCCTTTCTAAACCTCAGTCTTTTACCTGTAAAATAACTGTACCAGCTCCTCCACTAACCAGGTCACTGTGATAACTCAGAGATGATATGGTAGAAGCCAATGGTGGCATTCAATACAAAAATCTCCATAAAAATGAATCATTATTAAATTGATTTAATAAACATTTTCAAAATAAAAAAATATGAAACATAGTTATTTAAGAATACATGAAAATTATTTATGAAAAAATAACAAACATTTAATGAGCACTTATAATGGACCACATATTTTACATCAATTATTTTATTTAAGCCTCATAATATTCTTGTGACTTAGATATTATTTTTCCTTTTATGGTCAAAAAAATTAAGACTTAGGAGGAATAAATAACTTGTCCAAAGCTAGACAATTAGTAAGTGGTAGAGCCAGAAATTAAACTCAGGTAAGCTAACTCTAGAGGCATGCTGTAAATATAAACTACTATGATACTCTACAAAATAATCAGAAGAAAATAATCTTATGCAAAGTAATTTGAAAAAAAAGCTTTCATTTTCAATTACTAACACTAATATATGTTTCAAAAATTATTGTTATATTTTGCTGCATTTAATTTCAAATTTTGTATTATTTATTATTAAGTGGAAACAACTTAAATATACAAAATATACTATAGAACATTCATATGACAGATTGTTACTCAGTCATAACTAATGCTATAAAAGATATGCGTAGCTTGGAACCTTGTATTATTAATCAAGAAAAAGTTTAAGCATGTTAAAAAAAAACCCTCAATTTTCGTAAAAATGATGTCTTCTTCACACAAAAAAACAGATATATTTCAAAGGTTAACAATTGCATTATAAAACTTTCCTTAAAATTTTATAAATTTCCGTACTTTTAAAATTTTCTATAATAAACATTCAATTATTTATTTTTTTTCATGAGAGAGTGAGTGACAAGGTTTCATCATGTTGTGATCGATATGCACACCCACCCCCAATGCCACCAGCTTTCTAGCCAGCCAGGATCATGTGTACATGCACGCATGCCAAGCAGGTGTGGTATCCAAATCCCAGGTCTCCACGTGGTTTCCAACATTCAGTCCTCTTACCTGCACCACCACAGCAGGGTCAACATTTTTGTCATTAAAAAAAAGTTGTCAGGACCAGTAGGTGGCATGGAGTTTAAGTTGCTGGATCCCCCCATGGCCAACAGTATGATTCAAGACCTGGACCTGGCAGTTTCAGAATCATGCCAGGAATATGGGCGTGCAAGCCCAAGATCCCAAGAGGAAAATGCAGGAGAAGGGAATGCAGTGTGGTCATCTCCCTGGGGGATGAATTCTCATTTTCCCTTTCTCTCTCTCTCTTTCTCTCAATCACTGTGTCTCTCTCTATCCAGCTCACACACCCTCTAGCAAAAATTGAAAAAAGAAAGAAGAAGAAAGTCACTTAAACAAACAACCTAGTCATGAGCACTGCAAAGCAAAGTGATTTGGATATCTTTCCCAATATGTGAATAAATTATCAAAAATCCAGAAAATCGTTCTAGGTACTAGGATATAGAAGTGTCAAAACAGGGGCCAACAGGGGGCATGGTGGTTAAGGTGCTGGAATTCCCACATGGCTGAATTCCTATGTGGCCTCAGCATCAGCATTCTGGGGTTGTGCTCCTGCACCACTACCCCTGGCCTGTAGCTGCCCATGGTGTGTTTGTGCATGTGCAGGTGTATATGTATGCATAGATTTCTCATAATACTCACTTTCCCCAAACTTTTTGAAGACCACTTGTATTTGTTAAGGGATTAGTAGCTAATGGGCAATGTAACTGAGTAGACATTTTTCCCAAAGAAAATATGCAAATGACAAACAGATATGTAAAACAGTACTCAACATCACTAATCCTAAGGAAAACACAAATCAAAACCACATTGAAATATCCTATCACACCTATTACGGTGGCCATTATCAAAAAGATAAAAGGTGAATGTTGGCAAGGATGAGAAGAAAAAGGATCCCTTGTACATTGCCGAAATGCAGATTTAATACAGCTGGTACAGAAAACAGTATTTAAAGTCCTCAAAAAATTAGAACTAAAATTGCCATAAGATCCAACAATTCTATCCTTGAAAATATATACAAAGAAAATGAAATTAGTTTGTCAAAGAGGTATCTGCACTCCCATCTTCACGGGCACATAGTCACAATAGCCAAGATATAGAATCAACCCACCCATCTGTCTATCAACAGATGCATGTATAAATAAAATATGATATATATATATATCAACAATGGTGTATCTTAAGACTGCATAGTGTTATTAAAAAAAGAAAGAAAGAAAGTCTTGTCATTTGCAATAATATGGATGAACCTGGAGAACATTATGCTAAGTGAAATAAGCTAGACACAGAAAGACAAATACCACATGAGTGCACTTACATAAAGAATCTGAAAAAGTTCAACTCATAGAAACAAAGAGTAAAATCTTGGTTGCCAGGAGCAAGGTTGTGGGTGAAATGGGAGATACTGGTCAAATCATACAAACTTCCAGTTATAAAATGAGTAAGTTCTGGGAATCTGATGTATAGCAGGATGACTATAATAATACTGTACTGTTTACTTGAAATTTGCTACGAGAGCAAGTCTGAACGATCCTTACACACGCACACACACGGACACACCATGGGCAACTACGGACCAGCGGTAGTGGTGCAGGAGCACAACCCCGGAATGCTGATGCTGAGGTCGCATAGGAAGAACTCAGGTTTGTGTCCTGAGGTCTCCCTGAACGTGCCAGGAGCACATGTTTGTGATCCTGGCTAGCTGAGATAGGGTGGTGAGATCTTGGTCTAAGGCCCAGTAGGTGTGTCTGTCTGTCTGTCTGTCTGTCTCTTTCTGTCTTTCTCTCTCATGGAATAAATGAATTTTTAAGAAAAGGGTTAACTATGGGTGGTGGTGAATGTACTGATTCATTTGATTGTGGTAATCATTACACGTGTGTGTGTGTGTGTATATATATATATATGTGTGTGTGTGCATGTGTGTGTGTGTATGTGTGTGTGAAATCACCACATCACACGCCTTAAAAATAAATCATTTTTAGTTGTCAAATATACTTTAATAGAGCTGGGAGTGAGGGAGAAAGACACGCTAAGAAGAATTTCAAAGATTTAAAAAACATTTATTAAGATGTCCTACACTCAGAAAGAGGGTGGGAGGTCAGTCTGAGGAAAGACATAAAGGAGAAAAATAGAGAGTCAAGACCTTTATGAGACAAAGAAGTGGATTATTATCTGTTGATGATAACGTGTACAGTATCCCCAACAGGTCTGGTGTGAAGTGTGTTCATGTCGGAAAACTCACTTTACAAGCTAAGTGATGTATAGTGACTGATCGTATAGACGAAATTAAAATAAAATAAAAAAAATTTTTAAAGAAAGTGTCCCATACTTTGGCAATAATTTCTACCCTCTTACTAGTCTTCACAGAGGAGAGAAACATGCTCCATTTAAATTATTAAATATTTTCATGAAACATCATTCTTTAATTTACTGACCAGAAAAGAAATAATTTTCTAACCATAAAGTAGTATTGTATTGAAATAGCTGACAATGTTTATATATTTAAACTTGACTATGTTCTTCAGTACTAAATTACCAAATCTACTTAAGAGAAAAATTCTTCTTAAACTTGTCAGAGGGCACATGCACTTGCCCAAGAGAGAGAGAGAGAGAGAGAGAGAGAAAGTGAGAAAGCCTCCCTTATGGGGCATGGTCATGCTGCAATCCCCCTCCATTTCTCCATCTTCTACAGATTTAAGACACACATACATTTGTACCTGGCGTGTTTTTCAAGTCATCTGTTCTACGACTCAAACTACATCATTGGCTACATTGAATCTAACCACCTTAAGCACAAGGCCATGGGTTGGCCTAAGAGAAAGATTTTCAGTATCAGTATTTACAATGTAATGATTTAAAATACACTCAGCTAGACATAACTTATATCAAAAATATATTTAAAAGTTATAAAAAAAGCTAAAATCTTCTCCTCCACCCCTCCTAGAAACATTATTATAATAACTTCTTTTAACCTACTTTTTAAGTCTCTTCCTTCATATATATTAAGATGAGATACAAAGAAATTTAAGGAAAAGAACTTCAAAACATATTTAATAAAATAAGACAAGAAAAGAGGAACAGGGGTAAAGGTAAGGAGGGAGGAAAGAAGGAAGTGGAAAGGAAAACAAGGAAAAAAGAAGAAAAGAAATCGAAACTACTTACCTTTGTGGACCAGGTTCCAAGCATCATCAATTTGTGCCTGGGTTGGGAAATGACCACACTCATTGAAGTACTTCAAGAGCTCACTTCTTTCTAATTCTTGCCAGTCTTCTCTCTTAGCAAACATTGTTTCATAGACTAAAAGGAAAAAAATTGAAAAGAAAATATTTTCTCTATAAATAATATGTCAAGTACAAGCCACCTAAAAGGTCCACCTGGATTTGAAGAAACTTACACTCCGGCTGTATGTCTGGTTTCCTGATAAGCCTCCCTGCTTGGAGTGGCACTATATGCACCTCCTGGCAATGGCCAGAAGGAACTGGCTTGCTTCCCTCCACACCCCACACACATAATCGTCAGCGGTGAAATGGGGACCTGATCCCCAAGAACACCGGCAGTCTCTACCCTGGTTTCATGGCAACTGACCTATAGATCTTGAATAACATTCACCCACACTCAAACCACATCCTAAGACACAGCTTTAATGTCAGGATTTCTGAGGGCTTGACTCCTGTTGAGTCCATTTTAGCATTTGTTATTCATCACTTCCTCTTAATTTTTTCCTTTTTTGGGAGTGGGAGAGGCTTCATTACTTCCTCTAAGTTTTTCCTTTTTGGATTGCAGGGAGCGGGGGGCTTCCACGTACACTCTAACCGCAGGCATGTGTCACTTAATGACAGGGATGTGTTCTGAGTAGCACGCTGCGAGCTGATTTCATCACTCGGAAACATCATGGAGTGTACTTCCACAAACCAAGGATGGTATAGCCTACTAAAAGCATTAGATAGGGGCTAGGTAATGACTAATAAATGGACACATACGTATTCTAAGCATAGTTCCTCAGAAATTTTCCTTTTCTTTTTCTTTAATTGTCAGAAGGCACGTGCACTTGCCAGAGAAATACAGAGGGACAGAGAGGAAAGAGAGAAAGCACCTCCAATGGGGCATGGTCATGCCACAATCCCTTCTCCTCCATTTCTCTGTTCCATTAGGATTTGGCGCACACACGTTAATGTGCCCAGTGTGTTTCTCAAGTTACTGGGGCCAGGATTCAAACTGCACCATGCAGGATCTAACTCCCTTAAGCACAAGGTCGGGGCAGGTCCAAATGTTCTTTTCAAAAAGGTGATATTGAGTCTCCACTGTGAAATGAGTTAGATTACTCTTATGAGCTGATCAGCATTTACAGGACTGCACAGACTTCTTAAGAACAGGTTTAGCTCTGGGACCAGCAGATGACATAATGGTTACATCGCTGGACTCCCAAATGGTCTGCCATGGTTTGAGGCTCAGACTCAGTGGCTTAAAATTCATGCCGGTGCATGTACATTCATACTCAAAATCCTGAGAGGAAATGAAGGAGAAGGGATTGTGGCATGGCCATCCCCCATGGAGGAGCGATTTCTCACTTTCTGTCTTTCTGTCTCTCTCTGGCAAGCTCATGCATCCTATAGCAAAAATTTCTCGAAGAAAAAAAGAACAAGTTTAGCTCCGAAGCATGGATGTCCAATGACAAAGGTTACCACAGTGATTTCTAACAGAGGTTATATCATCCTGGCACTCAGTCATATGGATTTCAATTTTCTATTCATTCATTCATTTAGTTGGGGGAGATGGCTATGGTATGTCAAAAAATTCGAGACATACTTAGTGATTACCTAAATATGAGTAGCTAGTCCAGATCCTGAAACACAGAGTAAAATAGCCAGAAATGTATATTTATTATATCTATAAATTTTTCTTTTTTACATTTTTAAAATTTTTCATTTATTTATTTATATTTTGGAGAGGTTTTTGCTATATGGCACATGCGCTTGCCAGAAAGACAGAGAGTTGCTTTCACACCCACACCTCTTTGTCCCTTACACTTCTGTGCCAGCATTTGTATTTCATGGCCTAAAGGCTCCCTGCAGCTGTGTTAACCCTGCCCACCTCAGCAGCAAGCCAGACATGCCAGGGAAATAAGATCCATACTGAAGTGGACCTCAGCCATCCACTGGGGGAGTTGGTGGGTAAAGACTACTTGAGGCATGTGGGCTACACTGATTTCTTGAGTTCCTAGAGAGACTAGGTTCCAATTGTTCACATGGTAATTTGTTTGATAATGCAGCCTTTTTTTGACCTCCATCTGTTTCCTGTCTCACTTCTTCATTCCATAAACAACACTTCCTGGCTCAACTCCCAAATAAATTAGTTGAACTTGAATTCTTCGCTTTGGGGTCTGATTCTGGAAGCACTCAAACTAAGACACAAAGTGTTACTTTTTGCTTTTGCTTAATATATTTCTCCTTGAAAAAGTATATATACCTTTACTAGTTTTTCTTGAATTCATCAGTTTTACACATTTTTTCACAAGTTCAGAGTAATGTACATAAGAACATTATGGCTTTGTGATCTTAATAATAGATAATAATGCCCTTAACCTGTATATTATGCCCTGTTCTAACAGAATACTATCGTAGGCTGGTATAATCAGGATAAATACAAGACTTAACTCATGAAAATTAATGAAATTCTTTCAACATCGAAAGATACTTAAAAAGAGGCATGTATATCTATTAAATATCACCCAATGAACAATCAACACAGAGAAAAGATGGGGAATTTTCTAAGAAAAATGAAGACAAATATCCATAACTTGCAAATTCAACGGACTCTAGAGTTACTTAAACCCTCTATATAAGTAAATGCTCTAGTTAATAATTCTTTAAATGATTCATTAGGCTAATTCTACTCTATTGTTCAGATCCTCTGTTGGACAGAGGACCATCTGTCCAGCTAGACTTTCTCATTCTGTCTTTGCTTCATGTCCGCCTATTCTCAACAAAACTACTGGAGTGATATGTTCAACTTAAGTTACATTCTAGTCTGTTCACAGTCTTTCGTAGGCTTCCAACTCTCTTAGGTAAAGTCTAAAGGTCCATAAAGTCTAACACAACCTGAGCTCCCTACCACCTCTGGACTCTGATGTAAGGCCTCTACATTTGCTGCCTTGAACAGTCTTCCCCCTTAAATCCATTTGGCTCACTCCTCTCTTTCCAAACTTTTACTCAAAGACCTTCTCAGATAAAAATCACTGGAGATCTTTATTCTTTTTTTCAAACTGAGAAATTATTTTAAAATGCAAAATATTTAAATCTGAAGTCATAAATCAAGGAGGAGAAAGTATAAAAGGACACGGTAAAGATAATTTGTAAAAGACACAAGATTCTATAAAATTACGAAATGAATTTAGCAACATAATTTGGGAATTTTAAGATCAGACTGAGTAAAGTAGAGGGAACATTGTAGAAAGGATAAAGGGATTTGCAGGTCAGTAGCTAAAAACTAAAGTGGGTGGGGAAAATATGGTGGTCATTATAATAACTGCAAGGCCCTAGTAAGTATTTTATAAATATCATAATACCTGCACGTTGACATTAGATTGTGAAATTAATAACTACTACCTGATTACCTGCTAAAAGATATTAAGAAATATCTTACTGAATTTTGGGCTAGTGAAGAGCTTATGAGTAAAAGTCTTAGAATCTGAGTGTATGCGGGTGTGATATCTCTCTCTCCTCTCTCTCTCTCTCTCTCTCTCTCTCATTAAGGCTCTGTAAGTCAAAGGAGTCCGAAGTTCCTAATGGAGAGAATCTCTCTCTGTCTTATTCTGTCTCTCTCTTTTTTGGACTGCTTCCTTTCTCAAATGAATCATTCTAACTTAAGGAGTTCTGGTTACTATAAATACCTTTTGGCACATAATTTTGTCATAACAAACTTAATAAAAACTATGATTTCAATGACTGTATCTGAGCCCTCTGATAAACCAGGTGTTTACTAAATAGTGAATATTCATTGGTGAAAATAACAGACACATTGACTTTATGGAATTTATAGTCCTACATGTGAAATGAACATTTTTATGATGAGCTGAGACATCCAAAAATGTAGCACTTTATCTTATAAAGCAATACAATGATTCTAACTAAATATAATTTACTTGCATCATTTTTTTTTCATTAGTCAAGAAACTGGCTCTAATAATCTATCCTAATCCTAAACAATACTGAATTATTTACACATAAATAGAAATCAGGATCTCTAAAAGTTAAAATGTCAACTGGGGATAGAAATTCAATACTAATTAGCAACACGTTGTTTACTCTGCTTGGTGCTCATTGACTATTCTTCTGGTATGGATATTTAATTTGCTTTGGGGAGCCCCCCCTTGGCCAATGGACTCAGCTTCTACAGGACTGTCAAGCAAGGTTCCTGACCTTCCCACTGCAGCCTGGGACCCAGGTCCTGAGTTAAACCTGTCAGTTGCTCTCCCACTGGACTCTGGACTTAAAGCACAGAGACAAAAAGTCTTTTCGTGAGGGGGCTTATCCATCCACCAGAGGCAAATAGACATTGTCCTTTATTTCCTGCTCTCCAGATCTCTGGAGCAGCTCTGCTTCATATTCACTCTAAAATCTGATTCTTTAGCTTTTTTTTTGTATTCTCCCTTTAAATTTCCTTTTGACTTTGGTTAGCCAGAACAAGTTTATCTGATATGGATATTAACAAGTTAATCAAAAAATACAATATGCGGGACCAGCAGTTAGCGTAATGGCTATGTCACTGGACTCTCATGTAGTCGACCGCGGTTGGAGTCCCGGACCTGGTGGCTTAAACTCATGCCAGGCGCGTGCGTGTTTGTGCCCAAGAACCCGAGAGGAGAATGGACGAGAAGAGATTGTGGTGTGGCCATCCTCCCTGGGAGGTGATTTCTTGCTTTCTGTCTCTCTGTCTCTGTCTTTCTGGCGAGCGCACGCGCCCTATAGCA